GGAAAAAACGAAAGAAATGCGTTAATTTTGAAGAAAAAGCTTCAAACTTTATTTTCCATTGTCTCGCCTTTCTGTGAAATCTGACACCGATGAGTCATTGTGTTTACAGCTGGATGACCTGGAGAACAGCTGGTGTTGGGATTTCCCGGGACATTCTCATAGAAGTCTCGGGAGGAGAAGGGTTTAAAGTAGAGTGAATACTAGCTGGCTGTATATTTTTAAATATTTTTCAAAAATTACGTTTTTTTATTGCGATTTCCGACCCCCCGACTTAATTAAACGTATATATAATAAAATATATTAATTTAAAAAAATTAAAAAACTATTGGAGGTCGTTTTTGACATCAGAAACTAGCTTTAAATAACTTTATCGAAGTAAAATCCGTGCACTACTACTTTAGAACGATGAATGAAATTTGATAAAAAAACTCCCATTAAAAAACAATTAAGCGTTAATCGTGCGTCATTAAAGGTATATTAAAATCGCGATAAAATATTTTCGCGCGGGAAAAAATTTGGAGACAACATCCAAAAAACAAACAAAAATTTTTTCGGAGGGCCCAAATGCCCGAGTTTTATGTAACGCTATGGAACTTGCCCGAGTTATCTCGGGTTTTAAAGATTGCAGCGTTACTTCTTGCCGCCTGCAGATGGCTGTGATTGGTCATCCATATTCAGCAAACAAGATCAACAATGCAGTTAAGGAGACAAATTCCCTGACTTTTTGACAATTTTCGACAAATTCCCTGACCTTTTCCAAACACTAATGAAAATCCCTGACTTTCCAGGTGCGTAGGAAACCTGTTAATATCATCTTATATTTATTTTTTTGGTAATTTTTTTTTAGTGCTTTGAATGACCGTTCCTATTAAATTAGCTTTCTTTTCTTTTTTAATCGGTAAATCTTTTATACTTTTATCGATATTAGCCATTAAGTCTATTGTAATAGGTAGATTAAAATCTAATCTTAAATTCAGAAATTGTTTTACACACTTTGGGATATGCATATTTGAATTATTAACAATTAAATTATCCATCCATTTTTTCTTTTCATTAGGAATAGTTAAACAATTTATTTAGTTTTACCTCTTTTTTATATTTATGTAAACATCTCCTTAATTGATATAAAAAATGGAATAATTTAAAATATTTGCTTCTAATTATGGATTTTATTATTTTTCTCTCGCTTTTTCCAAATCATAGGCTTTGGTATTATATTCCTCATAGATTTTTTTAACTTAAAATAATTTATGCCAAATACTTTTTAAAGTGCTTTTTGAGGGAAAAATATATGTCATGATCCAATCTCTTCACTTTCATTGTGAGGAAGTCTACCGGGATTTATTTATTCATTCAGATTACTGAGGGAACTAGTCGAGAGGTTCTACTAAGACATCACTCTACTGCTCTGGAGATCGGGATCAAATCGGGATAGCAACTCCAAGAATTTTTCACGTGTGGTCCGTCTTGGCCACTTCGTGCTAAGTATTTTTAAAAAAGGGCCTCGGTGCCCATAAGGTGAAGAGTTTAGAAAAAAATATCCCATCTAATAGATTGAATTCATTGTTTTTCCAATTCAAACAACTAATAAATTTCCATTCTAAAACTTATGCATGCATGTCTACCAGTTAGTGTTAGAATTACTCTGGATAGGATGTACTCAAATGCAGTTCTCTCAAACGGCAATAATGAAAATTCAGTTTTATTGGGGTTTGCTCTAACAACAGTTTCAAGCAACCAATCGCATTGTCAATAGACACAAGTGAACTAACTACGTTTGAGTAGCTAAGTCATTTGCCCTGTGACAGTGGGTTTGGTTGCTTGAAAGTGCTTAAAAAATTTGAGTAAATTTGGATTGTTTCTCATCACTCTCAAACAGCACAAAAAAAAAAATAAAAAGAACAATAATTTAGAAGTGCTTGTTTATTTTTTCCATTATTACAAACATTTCTACGTACAAAATTCGTATACAATGTTTTTTCTCATTTTTAAAAAAATATTTTAATATACATTATACAAAAATTAGTTAATATTTGGCAAAAAAAAAAACTATTTTGGCAACAATATGAGCAAATTTCAATCATCATATTCATTATAAAATAAAGATTTATTCTAAATTTAAATGTAAATAATAATAATATTAAATTCATTTGTATAATATCTGATTAATGCATAGTTATATTTTATTTTCTTATATTAAACATATATATATATATTATATATACAGTACATGACTAAAAAAATGTTTATAACAAATTTAAAGTTTTGTATTGGAATAAGATATAAAAGGTTGTATATTAATTGCTTTTGGTAATTATAAAAATATATATGGAATGAATTTAATTATACAAGAATATCAGAAAAAGAATTTTTTTATTGGATTGTGTAATAAATACTTTAGGTTTTATAAAAAAAAATCTTATTAATGAAGTACACAACTTGGTATCCAAGAATTTGCTGGTTTCCATTGGACAGCCAGCAAATGAAAATGTTCCTTGTTCAAGAATAATTTTAAAATTACATTTATTATGTTAGAGACAAAAACTTACATTATAGAAACATTTCAAAAACTTTTGACGATTTCATTTGTATTCTCATAAAGTTAACTACCATATTTTTGGTGGTATTATTGCTGCAAAAATGTTTTGTTTTTTTTTAAATTTAATAATGGAGTTTAAACTAAATTGTAATTCCTATTCAAAATAAGTAATTTGATTAAATGTTCACAAGAATACATAAATTACAAAATTCAAGCAAACTTATTACATAATCCAATGAATTGAATTCTTTTCTAATATCAATGATTATTTTATTCATAGACAAGAGATGTTTACTTTGCCAATTTTAATTAAAAATTATAGCTTTGTTTACTTTGTATAAGATTTATTGTATATTCAGATTACTTATGTTATGTAAAAATGTAATTTTTTAAAATATCGATAAAAAATTACATTTGTTTCCATTTTTAATAATGATATTTTATTAAATCATAAATTTATTTATAGCTTTTTGGCACATCCAAATTTTGTATGATTTGACTTATTCTGAGCTATACATGAATGTTCTGAAAGCAATACAATAAACCCTCAATTTAATGGACTAATTAAAGGAAAAAGTCCATTAAATCAAATTTTAAAATCACATTAATAACAAACATTTGAACATACGTACAAATAAAAATTATAAATTGAGCACCTTATTTCCAAATGGACATGACCATCAAATTTGTGATATTTCAACTAATGCCATATTATTACTCATTGCAAGCTGTATTGCTTATGTAAAAAGTTTGAGTCAAATAGGCCCATATAATAAGAAAAATATCCTCTTAAGTTATGTGTTTTGTTTACAAACGAACATATATTGTTTCTACAGTGACGTGCTACCTCGTGGGCAAAAAGGGCAATTGCCAGAGCTCCCAAACCAATCTTTTAAGAAAATACTCCCCCAAAGAAAAATGTTTGAAGTCAACACTGTACATGGAGCCTCTAATTCAAATTTGCCTGGGCCCCCATAAACCTATAATGCACCACTGCCTTTCTACTGTAGTTCCAAATGGACATAAAGTATGATTATGTCACATGATTGCAAAATAACATCTCCACAATTACACAGCAAGACTGCTGTTGATGTTGTAGCCTTATTTAATTATTAAAATTCTTTTTAACTGTTTACAATAATTATTATGTTAAGTACAGTATTATAGTAATGGCCAATTTTTCAGAAGATGAAGCAGCGATACTATTTGAAGATGACAAAACTAGAAAAAAATGAAAGAAAGATTCCAATCCTGCCCATTGATTTGTTGTAACCATGCAAAAATATATTGGTAGGACCACTAGTTTTTGTGAAGTGTATGTTATCAAATGATGAAAATGGATTTTCGTCATAATCTGTACAAGGATTCACACAAGGGCCTTATTTAATCTCAACCACTGAAAAAAAGCTACAAAAGCCAATCGTGCCGATGGATTTGAACATAATACGACTAATTCGTACAGAGAAATGTGTTCAAACGTGGCTAATTATTTTACTGTAGGAAATTTTAAAAAGTAATGATTTAGAAAAGTGCTGGTAGCACATTTATCCTGAGAGTTGAATTCAAGAACTCTAAACAAACTACAATGTTAGGAATCTGACCTGCTACATTTTGCAATGTTGGAATAAAAAATCATCATATTCCATTTTAAAGAATCTCAGTTGTCACAGCATACACAGCACAAAAAACAGTTATGAAGTATTAGTAAATTTAAAAATTCTGAAATCTGAGATGAAGAGATCATGGATATAAATGCATTTTGCATACTTTACAAGTCATTAAAGAACTTTACACAAAAACTGACAATATTAACTAGAAAGAATATTGCCTTTTAGCAATGTTCGTATTTTCTACACTTGCATCCGTATGGAAATAATATCTCCAATATTTTGGAATGCTGTATTTATGAACAAAAACAAACTTAAATTTTTCCTGCAAGACAATTTTTGAATCTGTTAGCTCAAAAGTCCATTAAATTGGGGTCTGCTATATAAATTGACAGTTTACTGCACACACAAAAAGTTATAAATTTCATTTATGACTACCACAATTTGCTACAAAGTTAAATTGCTGTAACATGATGATAAATGCAATGTTTGATTTGATAAATCAAACAAAGATTTCAATTAATTATAATTAATTTATAAAGTAGTAAAAAATTAATAATAATATAGAAGAGACTAATTAGTTAAAGAAAAACATTTTTAACAAAAAATTAACATGTATATTGCATTTTTTTGTAAAAAGTATCTGAAAATAAAGATGAGATTTGTTATATAAAAAGTTATGAAAAATATTGTTGTTCTTAATTTGTACAGTACATATATTTAATTTATAAGACTAAATGATTGAGATTCATCATAAAATAAAATGGCATTACAATAATCTTAGACAAAAATGTAAAACATATATTAAACTTTCAATTCAGTTATGAACTTTACAAAAAAAAAACTATAGCACTTTTCATTAATTAAAAAATATATATATAAATTTAATTACTACTTCACTTTATATTCTAATTAAAACAAACAAAAGATTACTTAAGATTCAAAACTAAATATTTTCTTCACGGTGTATGTTAATACAGTTATTATCAAAAGAATTTCTGTCTGGCTGACAACTCCAAGTGCTCAATTTAGAACAGCAACTCAAATCTACTGATCGGGCCCTCTGAAGAGGCACGGTTGATTTATTTTTCGGATTCCTCTGTAAAGTTTGACTACTACAATTAGACATAACCAGCTTTTCCTTAGTTTTCTGTTAAATAAAAATAAAGCATTTTTAATATACATAAGTAAATATTTTTTTAAAGGACAGTTTTTGTATGATGTTATATTATAAACAATTTTTATTTTATCTATTTAAAATTCATTCAAATTATCAATTTTGTGCAGATCTGTACATAGTATGCTTTCATTACATGCATTCATCCTTCATGGTATGTATATGCATATGAATTTGCTAACACTAAGACACATTACATTTCAGCAGGGGACAAAACATGAAGACACTTAAAATAAGAGAGACATTAAAATGAATTTAGTGAATTTTTAAATTAGTTTTTATAGCCTTTCTGGATCATAAATACTTCAAAACTGGTTAGTGTTTATTTTTATAGTATTCTAGATTTTCTATTCAACAGAAATTTGTACAAGACCTTAAATCTGAGAAAGCGTGAATAATGAGAAGGACTATGTTGAAGGAAAATGATGAATAATAGCTGTCACAAAACTGATCTGTTCAAAAATTTTGTGCACAAAATTTTTGAAGTAGTTTTGGCAGTTTCATCAAGCCATATGGACAAGGAAGACTACAAAAATATATTCATTCATAAGTCGTTAGTGTTGTTATAAAACAAATTATTATCCTTTTATTATCTATAACTTAAACTGATACACAAATGATTTATTTGCGTATTATATAAATAGTTTAATTAATTAATTAAATAGCTTTTTCATATACTGATTATATTTATTTATCATAAAAACATTAAAATGTTGTGTGAATTCAACAGGTCAGATCCTGCCTGTAGTTTGGAAGATTACTAACTTAGATCATTCAAAACATGCATTATATCATATTATAACTGAAAATGCAAAGGTACTTTGTTTGAAAGGATTCTAATCTATTTCAAATAGGAAATTGATTAGACTCACAAAAATAGTCAAAATTTAGTGTAAAATTTATATAGATTAGCATTCAACAATTAGTGTTAGTTTGTAAATGACATTAAAAGAATATGGATAAGAAGATTAATATAAAAATTTAAATGATATATAACTATATATATATATAAGCAAATATATTATACATAAACACAAAATAAAAAATTGGTATGTTTTTGTGTATTGGAAAGTTTATAATCTATATAATATTACTTTACAATAATTCATTCTTAAGGCACATTTCTAAACATTTATGATTTATAATATGTAAATTAACATTCTAATATTTTCATAAAGAAGTTTTAAAAATTAGATTTTTTATTATTCTGACAAATAATAATAAAAAGAAATGATTGATCGATTAAGTTAATACTACATTGAGTAATGATTGCTTTGACTAATCTGTTATTAATGAAATTTATAGTATTTAGTTTAAATTTGATGAAATCAAATTTCTAGAATATTTCAAATGAACAAAATATAACTATAATGACAAACTGTAGTAATCAAATTTTAATATTTTAAAATGTTAAATATATAATTGTATTTTACCTTTAATGTATTGTGAAGTTGGCACTTTTCATTTTCTAGATTACTTAATTTTTCAGATAATTGAAAAACTGTTTTTATTTGAGCAGCTTTTTGCAACTCCAATTCCTTTCTTCTTTCTTGTTCTTCTTTCAACAATTTTTCTTGCTCAGCCCTTTGAAATTCTAATTGTTCCCTTTTATCCCATTCTTCTAACAACATCCTTTAAGAATTAAATATATATATAATCAAATTCTCTACATTATATAATTAGAAAAAAGTTTAATTAGACTATTATTTGTCATATTTCAGAATTAATAAGGTAAAACACAAATGTATATGTTCGGTCCAGCAAAAATAATTTAAATTTTTTCTTTAATATAAAATTACAGAGAGGTGCTCTCTCTCTGTGTGCTTTTTACAAATGGTTGTAGCGTTTGTCAGGAGAACATCTTTTGTCTTTCTGCCTGATGCAGTGATTTTATTACAAGCTAATTCAAGGCTGAACCTTGAATGTATGTGTTGTCATTATATACTTTTTGTAAATTATTAAATAAATTCACCAGCTATTTGCTGGAGATGTTTGTTATGCTAAATTACAGTCCATTTCTTAAGTGAGTACCAGCAGTATATTTAAAAATATGAAGCAGAAATATTTTACTATGTCAGAAATGTAAACCAGGTAGAGGGGACCTAAATATGCAGATTTCGTATAGGAATGTGGATGTGGAAATACAGCGAGAGGGCACTGTTGAGTTTGGCAGATTAAAGCGCTTTGCTGGCTTGAATCGTCGTTCCCCGCATGGATTTTGAGCAACATGCATTGTTACACCAATGCAGAGCTTGCTGACATGCATTTCATGTATGGGGCTGTGCAAGAAAATGGAGCTGCTGCCCAAAGGATGTATATAGAGTGATTTCCAGGTAGGAATCTGCCAGATCACTGAATATTCAAGCATCTTGATTGGGAGTTGTGCATGGAAATTGCTCCATGTACTGTACATCCTTTGAGCATCTCCACTTCCTTGCGCAGCCCCATACATGAAATGCATGTCAGCAAGCTCTGCATTGGTGTAACGATGCATGTTGCTCAAAATCCATGCGGGGAACGACGATTCAAGCCAGCAAAGCGCTTTCATCCGCCAAACTCAACAGTGCCCTCTCGCTGTATTTTCACACCCAGATTCCTATACAAAATTGCTTATTTAGGTCCCCTATATCTGCCTTTACGTTTCTGACATATATATAGTTTTGAAACACCCTTTTTAAATTTTTATTAAACAAAAAAGTATAAAGTCACAGAACATCAAAAATAATTATCACAAAAGACACAATAAAGAAAATAGGGTATCTTTTAAAATAAAATTTTTGATAGCTGGATGATCAAAGTGTCATCAGCCTACCAGGGTCAAATCCAGGTGATTGAAGAAAACCTTAGAAATTTTTCAGGGGGTGATCTGTCCTGGATACATTATGGTCTTACCTTACCACCCAGCTGAGCCCCTTATTGACTGGCCAAACACCCATGGTAGGTATGATTAAAAAGACCCTCTTGGTGCAGACAGAGCAAAAAGAATCAACAAAAACATAATACTCTGCACTGTATAGAATCACACTGGGCAAACTGTGGTTCACAAGTTGCACACTGCTCTTCTAGACCCTATGTCTCCCTCATATTTAATTATTGTAATTAAATATACAGGAATACATATCCATTATATAAAATAGTTACAATAGAGAATATGTCTTGAATTTCTGTTAGGTGATATATGGACTCCTGTCATGACAAGGTTTGGCCAGCCCTGATAAAGAAGCTTTGTTTATTTAAAATATTGGAAATTTATAAACTGACTAGTGTATTTTATGCATACCTTATATCTTAAATTTAAAAAGCTGTTAATATTCTTAAGTCAATATCAGTTTAAAAATAATACTTTCTTTTATTCACCATTAAAAGCATACGTCAAAGAAAAATTTTAATAAGTGAATAACATAATTTTAATAATGAAAAACCCCAAAAGCATCAACCCCTATGTTAAATATTGCAAGCACATTTGGTATCCAGAATAAAAAACTTCAGAATGCAAAACTTTAATGCCTCTCTTCTTTCTAGGCATCAACTTGCACATCATCATACTCTATGATTAATTGTTGACACAACACTGATAAGCTCAAACTAGGGTAACCAACTGTCATTTCTGCCTGGAGACTCCAGTTTTGGCAACATTTATGCAGTCTCCAGATTTACTAATAATATCAATGTTTTACTTATTACTCTTTTAATATTAAACTTAAAATCAGTTTGTGAATATCAGACCTGCCCACAATCTTCGTAAGGAGTTAAGTTGGCAACGCGTCATTTAGGGCAGCCAATGTCTGACCCCATTTTTTTGTTAATTCTGTTTTTTTGTTAATTTTTGTTAATTCTGGTTGGTCAATTAATTAATAAATTGACCAATCAGAATTGCCTCACCCCGAATTCACTCCTATTACCAAATTTATATATATATATATATTCTTTTTTTTCAGTTTCCAAGAATCCAATTACTACCCCCAAAATGTCTNAGAATTGCCTCACCCCGAATTCACTCCTATTACCAAATTATATATATATATATATATATTCTTTTTTTCAGTTTCCAAGAATCCAATTACTACCCCCAAAATGTCTGACAATAACAAGAATAATATAAGTGATGAAGTGAAGAAAAAGAAAATAAAACATTACTGGACAAAATTCAATGACAACTGGCTAACAAATGTGAGGTATCAAAGCATGGTATAAAACATAAAATTTTAGATATTTACACCGACTATTATAAGTCATCTGAAGTGATATCTAACAAAATAACAGTGTGTCTAAAAGAGAATGGCCTTACAATTGAATATGTTACATCTTATTCAGCCGACAATGCCTCAGTTAATTATGGAAAGAACAATTCTGTTTTTCAAAAATTATGTAAGTTAAATGCATATACGTTAAAGGCAAATTGTTTGTCATGTTATTTACAATGCAGCTACATTTGCTTGTAAAAAATTACCACCAGAATTTGATACAGAAACACTTGTGAATAAAATATATTCTGAACTTTCATGTAGCACAACAGCCATAAGAGAATCAAAATCTTGTTATGAATTTTTTTCAAATAGTTTTTACAAATTATCAGAAATGTTCCAATGAGATGGCTCAGTTTATCAAAGGCTGTAAATTGATTATTATTAGCATGGCCTGCAATTAAGCAGTATTTTTTAAACCAGGGAAAAGAGGAATGCAATGCCTTTCATTTTCTAGCATATCTATAAAATGCCAAATAATTAGAGGATGATATGAAAACTCCTCCAAGTTGTATTTATACTTTATTTCATGTTTCCTGAATTTTGTGTGTGAATCAATTTTAACTTTAGAAAAATATATTATGTCCACTGAATTACACGATGTCACTAATTCATTGAAAACTGAACTTGAATGTCGGCTGAAAGATAACTTTTTTGGATGCACAGTTTAAAATTATTTTAAAAACTTTAGTGGTAGTCAACAAAAGAAATTTATTTTGGATGCAAGAGAAGTTTATGATCATGCTTTAACTTAGATCCACAAATATTACGATTTTGAAAACAGTCCTATAAAAAGCTTCACAGCATTAAATATAAAAAAAATATGATCTTTAGTTTGCAGATATTCTAAAAATTGCTTCAATTTTAAATGTAAAAGTTAATGAAGATATTCTATATGACATTAATATTAATTCAAAATAACAATTTAGAAATACTTTGAAATGAGGAGTTAACAGAAAAAATATGGGAGTCTATTTTTAAAACCCTTGATGTGACAGAACTTTACCAACAATTTGTTTGATTTCAAAGGGTACCTGTAAGTTGTGGAAAAAATTGTCATTTGTGGAAAAAATTTTTTCTGTAATGGAATCTGCTTGGAGAAATAATAGAAGTAGAATGAGAGTTAGGCATTCAAATTAATTTCGACATAAGAATGAAAAGCTTCGCAGCTCATTTATTTCAATACGGCCAAAAAAAATTATTGCAAGCAGCAAAATCAGAAAAAAATATATAATGTTAAGAAATAAGAAGCATTATAATTATAGTTACTATATAAAATAATGTTGGACTGTTAACTGTAATATATGTATATATATATATACATTTATCATTATATTTTCCACATATATATACTTATTATACTGATATAATTGTTGAATAAATATAACATTGTGACTGTTTGTTTGTTTTTTTTGGGGGTGGGCAATCCTCCACATGAGTAGTTGGCAAATGTTGGAAACCCTAGCTCACACAGCATAGCTGACATTGAAATGAGTGGTTTTTCATTCATATTAGCAGATGATGCAACAATATGATAAAATAATGGCTTTGAAATGTTGAACCAACGTTGTAAGTTATTGTAATCATTAATACCAAATTTAGCAAATATATATACATTGGTGTTTTAAAGTATTGCACTATCATTTATCATTGTATATTACACTAATCTTTTTAACATATTTCCTCCCAAAAATAATCTCTACACACAAAGTATTTTAATATTATTTCAAAAAATTAGAATATGCAAATGAAAGTAATATTTCAGAATTACCTAGACTGGAGAGTACGAACAATCTCTTCGTCTCTTTTGGCCTGTCTTTCTTCTTCTAAAAGTTTCTCATATTGTTTTTTTGCTTCTTCTAACTCTTTTCTTTTATGACTTTCTTCTTTCAGGAGAGCTTCAGCTTTTGCTCTAGCCTGCAGGTTAATATTTTAATTAAATAAGTTTCATGCAGTTTCTAAAGAACTTTAAATAATGGATTTATAATATTTTTTAATTGGCATAAAGACTCTAAAAGCATAGTTTTCAGATATACTGTTAAATATTACAGAATAACAGTTTAAAAAAATTTATATTGTTACAAATTTTAACTTTATAATTAATTTCTCAATAAATAATAAGTTAGGAAAAATTATGATTAATATGATATTTTGATAAATCACACACTATAGTAGAGACAACTAGAGACAGGCATTTGGCAGGATATACAATGCTAGTTTTGGAAAAATGTATCTTTTGATTGTAATTTGCTGCATTCTGATCTAAATAAATTTAAAATTTAACAGATGATTGTTCTTGTTATTATTCCCGTCAAATTTTTTTTTATTTTCAATACTGTCCCTTCTATTAATTACAAGAATAATAAAGAAAAATTTTACTTATTTATGTAACCTATTAAAATTTTATCTGTTTATGATAATTTTGAAGACTTATTAGACCACACAAAAATAATTCTAAAATCTACTATTTGACCATTTTTCAAGATAGTTTGAAGTTAACATATTACTTCAATAAATATTTAATAAATTTTCAGAATTCAGATTGTCAAATTGATATTGATCTAAGACTGCAATTCTTGTATCAATAATTCTGCACCTAAAGTAAAAATTCAAAAAAGTATGTTAAATATATTTCATGTTTTAAATGTAATATATCATCAAAACAGAAAAAAAATTTTTGGAATTTCTATCTCAAATTATAACAAATTTTTCCCGAGTTTAAATAAACTCCAATTCTTATTAAAAAATTTTTGGATCAATCAATTCCTTAATATTGTTTCTACAATTTAAATAGTAAGCTACATTGATTAAGTATTTTTTTTATTTAACTTCAAAAATTCAAAATCATAATTTGTGATTTTCAGGTAATATATAAAATTTGTAAAGTTAAATAGTATATAATTTTTAAAACTTAGTTCTAAATCAATATAATAAAATGAAGAAAAAAGAAATGCTGCTATCAAAGCATAGATTATGTCTTAAATTATGTATTTGATCATATTAAATAGAATTAATTACTTAAATAAATAAATTCAAGATGACTGATTCAAACCATTAACCTATTCGATGTTAATTATTTTCTCTGCCGCATGTCACTCCATGTTCAATTTTTTCGCTGTTAAGCCTAACATGATCACACGTTTTAGAAAATTAATAATTGTGGCTATTTTATCATTCCAAATTATTTTATATTTTTCACACACAAAATAGACATATCAGGGAATGTAAAATAAAAAAATTTCATTTCAGAAGTTAGTTTTTTAGTGTGATGTATCTCAAAACAAGGAACAACACATAGTGGAACATTACATTATACACCCTGATAACATGATTCTGCACACTTTTTGTTTGCCGAACATACTTTACATACTCTGGATGGATGTTTCTTTTTTTCTGTTGGTGGCATAAAACTGGGAAAATGCCATTCGGTTAAACGTAATGGATTTTCACGTGATGGTTGACCATGGCAGGCTGGATGTCTGCTTGTGTGATTCTTCTCTATCACTTCTCTGATAACAGACACACAAGAAAAAAAATATCATTTCTTGATTTTTATATATGTTGTCGATATAAAACACAAGCATTATGTAGTGTAATATCCATCATACGAAAAAACACTTTTTTTTAAATACCATTTTACCATTTTTCTCATGCACGGATAATTGTGTATTACTCCGTCACAGAAATCAATACCACCCATATTACAATTATAATCTAAAATACAATTTGGCTTCATTATTACTTCTGATCTGTTACATTTACCCAAATCAGAGAATTTGTTGTCACTCATTGTACTTAGAATTGTCACATCCCTTTTATCTTTCCAACAGAACACAGACAATTCATCTTTCTGACAGGTTATAAATTCCCCTTCCTTCAATTTACTGCCAGGAAAATTGTGTGGCATTCCTATCCGATTTTTGTTTACCGTTCCACATACACAGGTTTGTTTCTCCAGAAGCATTTTTGCTAAGATTGTTGAGGTTTACCAAACAATAGTTCTATTAAGATTAGCACAACCTTCTCACCTTGCCCACCTTCAAAATTTCCATATTCAGTAGTAGCTCCGGTGTAAACTATAAAGTCCCAAATATATCCTGTTTGTGACTTGTAAATTTTGAAGCTTTTCACTCCAAAACAAGCACGCTTGTTCGGTATATATTGTCTAAATCCCAATCTCCCTTTCCATAGCATACGACTTTCGTCTACACAGATATTTTCCTCTGGGATGTATTCATTTTTGAACCTGTGACATAAATGATTGATAACACTGTGTAATTTATGCAGTTGATCATCACCACCTGAAGCTTGATTATTGTCCGTAAAATGCAGACAGAATAATATAAGTTGAAAGTGGTTGCTTGGCATCGCACTCAAAAAAAAATTATGTCAAAAAAAAATCTTCAATTGTAAAATACATCCTTAGGCACAGTTTTCTAATGATACTTGTGACCATTGTAAGTCCTAGAAATTCTCTAATTTCTGGATTTGTTGTTGGTTTCCAGTTTTTTATCCGACTATTCTCTTGTAAATCGTCACAGGTCAGCAAACTATTACCATACCTGTTCATTTTTGAAACGATCTTGTCGACAAGTTCGTCCTCAAAAAATATACTAAAATATTCGAATGGTGTAGCATCACTCTGTAAATTACATTGTATTCCTGCTGGTCCCATGATACTGTTAACTTGAGGACTTCTGAAGTTTGTTCGAATCCAACCATCGTCACTACTAAATTGTGGACGTTAGCATTATTACTTTGCGTACTACCGCATGATCTGCCTCTATATCCATTTGTAGATGGTATTTCGGGATCAAAATCACCAGTGTCATCACTTACATTTTGATGTAATTGTCGTTGCTGTCTGAAAATTCAGATTCATCAGAACCTAAATTAAATATTCAATCACTTCTGACTTATTTAGAGTGCTATATCTACTACTCAGTTCATCTCTGTTTCGACATGGCAACAATGGTCTAATTTCCTTTGTGCTTTCTAATAAAAAACTATTCCTAGAATTTCAATATCATGCTGTGCAAAAACTAGATAATATAACGGTTCTTCCAATATATGGAGTTCTGAAATGAGTGACTCATAAGTAGCAACATCTGATGTTTAAAAAATGTTCTGATGCAGAAACAAATATTTTCAGGATCAACCCCCCCAGATCAATGAGGTCAACACGAAAATTTTTGGAAACAATGCAGGACTGGTTAAGAACTACAATACTCCAATTAAAAAGAAAAAAAAATAAAATTTGTTAAAATATTACATTTCTATTATTAAAAAAAAATGATAAAAATTGTAAGTGTCCTTAGTATCTCTGAAAAAATATCTGTTTGTATACATTATTTATAATCTACTGTACAAGTAATATAATTGCAATGTAATAACAGTCAACTTGCTTGAAGATAATACCAAAAACATAAGCTAATTATGATCAAATAGAATTCTATCACTTAAACCAAGATTATCAGAATATTTAATTTTTTAAAACTTTAAAACCTTTTTTTCTAACTCAAGTTCTTGTAATTGTTGACTTCGGTGTGTCTCCTCTTTTTCTTTTTTCAATTGTGCTTTTTGTCTTTCACTTTTTCTTACAGTTGCCAAACTTCTCTGATAAGATTGTGGATATTTAGAGTATTCAATGGCAGTAGAAATAGCTGAAATAAAACAATTTTTAAATTAATGTAATATTATTGCAATGTAATTTAATTTTGACTATAAATTTAAAATATATATACAGTAGAGCGTCGTTTATCTGAAACATTGGTTAACTGAAAGCATTCCAGTCGGCAAATTTAAATTTTTGCTAGTGCTGTGGCACTGCAATCTTTGGCTATATCTTAGCCCAACCCAATATTTTTTTTGTTGGTGTGTGTGTTTTAGCTGGCAGCACTGGCACTTTTGTGTGGTGTTTTCCTGAGGACTGTGTGTCATGCTAAATCAAACGTTTTTGATATTAGATGAACTTCTAAAGTATAATTTTTTTGTTTTTATGTTTTTCAATATATTTATTTTGTTTGTAAAAAATAAAGAAATTATTTTAAAAAGTTTACATTAGGCTTAATATCGATGAAAATTCAACGTGAAGCAACACGCAACAGAGAAAATTTTCAACACGGGATAGGTTAATATATTTTTTCAAACATAATTGGTTAACCAAAAAATAAGTTATCCAAACAACCTAAGTCCCCAATTGATTCAGATAAACGACTCTCTACTGTATAGTTGTTAAAATATTCTGTATAATATCCACCTTTTAGTAAAACAGTAGAGGAGAGATCAGTAACATTCTAAGTATTATACAGTCAAGTTAGCTTTTTCTTAGATTTAAAATTCACAAATCATTTCCTAAATCAGGTTTTGAACCTACTTATACCATCTAATTTCACAATGTAAGATTGCTTGAAATTAGGTTTAAAACTTATAATAATTCTATTACTTAAAAATTTGTAATCATTATCAGTCATTTCACTGTTAAGAACAGAATATACTTATGATTAAACAATTTCATTTCAATACTTTTACAAGAATTTATTTTGAGAAAATTTTCATTAACAAAAAAAAAATTTCATAAAAATTGCCAGGACAAAAAAATTATTAAATTTACAAAATTTAAGAAATTCTTAAAGTAGGCAATTCAAAAAAAATTTGTGTCTTCTCACTTTGTGCTTTTACACGCACACGAGAAAAATAACAGTTCCAGTTTTTTTAATTGCGCTGTCACCAGAGGGATTTTGTAATGTTTTACATATTGGGGTGGACAAGTAGCCTCAAATGAAAGGTCGACTCCACCATGGAACTGTTTTCTTCTTCATGTGTACATAAAAGGACAAAGTGAGAAGACAAATTTTTTTTGTAATGTCTACAGTAAGAATTTCTTAACTTTTTGTAAATTTAATTTAAAAAATCTTTACATCTAAAGCAATGGTCATACATGGCAATTTTCAGCCACACAAACAGCTGCAACTGCTAACTAAATATCAAACTCAGCCTTTTTAAACACTTAGGCCAAGACTCCACTAGCATAAAAATGGACGTAAAACCTTTTAATCACGTGACTATGATATTTTATGCCTGAGCAGTGTTCAACTTTCAACGCGAATACGACCATAAAACAGTACCATCCACCAATCAGAAGTCAGTGAAATCTAGATCATTGTGACACTGTGCAAAAATGGCGGAAAATGAGCTTTTGTGTATGTTCCCTTGTGGATACTCTAGAATAGATCTGGAAAGAATTATCAAAAACATCCAAAAGTATTCGTGTATCTACAACAAGAAGTATCCCGATTATAATAATGGATGGCCGAAGGAAAATCCTTCAATTTGGAGGTGTATATAATAATAAAAGCTAAGCTTATAAGTGCTGTATATTATCTTAATTAATAATACAGTAATAGAAGTTAATATATGAAAGTAAAGATATTATTTTTACTACATTTGTAATTATAGTACAGAAAAACTCGTAGGATATAATCATTGCCTTTATAACTTCAATAGTACCGTTGCCATAAAAACTTTGCTAGCCAGACCTCCACCGCAATCCAAATGCAATTAGGTCACATGATTAAAAGTTTTTACGGCAAAGGTTTTTACACCCATTTTTATGCTAGTGGAGTCTTGGCCTTAATGAAACATCAAACACCTTCTATCACTGCAACTGCATTGACATCATACATGTTTTGGCTAACCTTAAAGTCAAAAAATGCATCCCTGGTCATGATATAGCTTATGTACTACTATTTTGGCTCAAGCAACTTATGGAAGTTGGAAGTATTGCATATGAAATGATGTAATAAAACTGTTATTGAATTCATAGAACCAAAACATACTTTGTATTACATATTAACCAATATTTTGTACTAGCCAAACCTATTAACATTAAAATACATGTCCTCATCCATGGGACTGCAAAATCTTTAATTTGCACTAATGCAGAATTCACATAAACAAATAATGTAATAAAGGAGTTTGACTGTATATACAAAGTCAAAATAGAAAAAAAAAACATTCTGAATAAGTATGGTTGAAATTTTATTTGAACTTACTTCAAATAAATAAATGTTTTTCAAATAAAATAAATTTATAAATTTAAAAATAAAATTTTTTATGCTTAATGGGGCATATCCCAACTCTCAGGGCTGCTGGTGAACTTTCTTATGCACTTCATTTGTGACAATAACTTTAAAATTAACCATTTGATTCAACTGTTTTTTGACTTGTTAAAGAAGACTAATAGTTAGATATACTAATAATAATAAGAAAAGACCAATATTAATAGCAATGCAATGTTCTCCAATCAAGCGGGGAAGACCGCCAGTTAGTCGAGCTAAACCAGTGAGTAAACGTAATGATAATTCTGCAACAAGTTCCAGACTAATTACAGACTTTAATTTATAATTGGATAAAAATCTACAAGATATCTATATGGAGACCAGGAATACTAATGAGAATTCAAATCAGCATCATAATCAAGATTTCTCAGGTGAGCCAATTATATTTGACACCTCACTACATAATCCGGATAACTTATTAGACACTTCATCTACAGTTTTACGGAATAAAATATCTAATCTTATAAAAACATCTAATGACAAACTATTTAATCAAATTATTAATATTAAGGAGAAATTGAATATAATTCACAAAAATTTATGCAAAACTAAAGAAAAACAAACAAAAATGGAGGAACAGATTACTAATTTACTACAACAAATTGATACTCTGCAGATTGAGAAGGAACTCACACAATTTAAAATGGATTCTTTAATTAATGATTACAATCGTAACAACATTATATTATACAATTCTAACTCGAGGATTATTTCTAAAGAAGAAATTCATAATTTTATTGTTTCTTTACTAAATATTCATAATATAGTTCAAGACGATATTTCACAGGTAATCCAATTAATGAAACTACCAAAAATAATTATAAGAATAACTCTCAACAATAATCAACTTCGGAATCAGATCTTTTCTGCTTATATTCGGAAGAAACTGCAAAATCAGCTTGAAGATTAGAGAGATACTCAAATATCTCCAGACCTTACTAAAAATTCAAGAATTAGACGCAAAAATTTACTTTCAACACTACATGATATACGAAAACAAAATCAACGAGCCAAATTACATAATGATATTATATTAACAGGAGAAGACAAAATTACATATAATATTAAAATGAAAAGTCTGGTAGATACCTTTTTACCCTTTTCCAACCTAATAAATTTGGGAAGCTGATATACTATAAATCAGTCATATACAATTTTCACTTAATTTCAAGAGTAATCACTCTTTCGCTATAGTAAATTGGAACTGCCAAGGACTTAAATATAAAACCACATTTGTTAATTCTCTATATGTTAAATCCAGTTATTATTGCTATGACAGAAACTTGGATTACATCTTATAAATTTTATACTACAAATTTCTCTAATAAATTTATAATAGAATCTGCATTAGCAAGTAAATCAGTAGGGCCCAGATGACTGAGTGGTGGTCTATGTTTATTGATTGAAAGGGAGTATTGTAAAATAATCCAAGTTAAAAAATCTAGGAATAATATACTAATTCTCATCTCAATAACTAGAAATAAATTATTAAATAAGAACAATAAAACACTAATGATAATGTTAACTTATGTGCCACCCGGTGATCTAAATACTCTTAATGAAATCTTCAAAGTTATTGAAAAAAGGCACTATATAATGCCATACGTTATAATATTGGGCGACCTTAATTCCAGAATTGAAGTGATGGACTCCAAATATAAAGGACCTAATCATTTAATTTATAATAGTTGGAAATCTAAGTATAAACAGGTTAACAATATGGGAAAAAAATTATTAGATCTTATAACTGAATACAAGTTGTTTATACTGAATGGTCGTATTAACACCTGATTTTCCTGCAGAATATATATGTCTAACCCACTCTAGAAAATCAATAATCGATCTTACAATATGCTCTGATCTACTTCTGGACCGTTGCATGGAATTTAAGACAACTTTAATGGATGCATCGGATCACTTTCCCAAAATAACAAAATTTCAACTATCTTCAGTAAAGGGAACTAACAACCAATGCAACAATAGTCCAAAAATAAAATATAAAATTTCAAAATATCAGACAGAGATTGATAATTGTTTTATTGCCATCCCAGAAATAACGAGTACTAATAATGAAAAAAAAATATACAATTTAATGATAACCATATTAAATGATTACATATGCATTAATACAAATAAAAGAAATATTCAAAATAAAGCTAAAGAAGGGTGGTTTGACTCTGACTGTTATAAAATGAGAATGATAAAACAAGTTGAATTTAAAAAATTTAGACAAAATCCAACTGATCTTAACTTTGATAGCTATAAAAAAGCCAAATGATCTTATAATAATCTAATCAAAATCAAAAAGTCAAATTAATTTTTTATGCCTAATAGTAATGTATATTTTAATTTGTGGATCAAATTAAAAAAACTTAATAAATACATTTATTTAAGTGGGATATACTACATAAACAAAATTGCTTTTTTTATTCCTACCATACAAAATTCTGTTACCTGACATCCATTGAAGTTTACATTTATAATCCTCTGAGGACAGTTCAATGGTTTTTCCTTCAGTTGTTATCATAAACCTATAATTTTTGTTCCCTTGAAGATCAGATACAGCCTTGACAAATAAAAACAATATTTATAAATTTCATAAAACTTATTTCTAAACAATTTTCATCTATTTGATTCAATTAAGTTTTTCATTACATATTTAGAAAATAAAGGAAAAGACAGTCAAATCTGTCTATAACGGAACCCCAAGGGACCGAACACCTCTTCTATAGTAGACAGGTTTCCGTTATATACAGGTTACCTACTATAGGTATCCCTTGATTAATGTGATAAATAAATTTCTCTGTTACTATGTATATCAAACTTGTGTTAATCAAATATAGTGGTACAGTGGTACCCGACCAAACACTCACCACTTGCTACAACAGATTTTCGGTTAATAACAAATAATTTTAACATTAATTTTTTTACTCATCAGTAAAAAAGTTCTGAGATAAAAATGAGTAACCAGTTTAAAAATAAAATATGGTTTATTACATATTAGAGTAATAATTTTATGGTATATTCAAAAAATTAACATCTGCAAGATTTTAAATTCATTAACTCTTACAAATGGCAAAGTAAATTGTTTATATCAAGTTAAGAAAATGATTAAGAAATGAAGAGTAAACAACAAAACAAATATTGTCATCAGTATAATTCAAATTACTATTCTGTAAATATAAGGAAAAAAAATAATTGTACCTCAACTTTAGTTTCGGGATTAATGTTAATCTCTCCTCGTTTATCATTTTCATCCCTACTTGAATACCAACTTAGTCGATAAGGCTGTAATACATACCAATATTCCCACCAGCCACCTAATTTTGTAACTCGTTTCTTTAATATACCCTAAACAAAATATTTCAAAAAAACATTTAATATCTAAACGAAACATCAAATTTATAAAATTTTATTATATTAATTACCTTTTTTAATACATCTAAAATAATGCTATCATAAATTTCTTTAGTTGCTTCAATGATTCCTTGTCTTTCAATATTGAGAGTAATTTGTGTTTCAACTAAAGTTAAAAATACAGGGAATTTAATAAATGAAAACACACAAATGACTTGTTCGAATTCTGATGGATTCCATTCTTGACCCAATTCCTGAGTTAGTAATTGTATAATATATTTCACTTCTTCTGCATCAATAGCAACTGTTAATGATTCTTCAACAGGCTTCAATTCACCCAACAAACAAAAAATGCGGAATAGATGAAAAACACAAATATCTGGAAATGCAACATAATCCCTCATCAAATAATTTTGTTTACATACTAACCAACAAACTTCTTCTATTTGATCCCAATATTTCCTAATGTCATTTGAAGATAAGTCATTTACTGGTAATTCAATATTAAGGTAATACATATAATCTTCAAAACTGAGATATGGAGTACTATGATGATCTTGTAAACTTTTTTCAACACCATGACAATGTAATAATGTTCCTAAACTTGCAGTCAGCACCTAAAATTTTAAATAATGAATTATTATTAGAATTAACATTAATAAACAGAATTAAAATTTACTTTACAAATAAATCAATGAAGAAAACAACATTGCATTACAAGTTTTTTGAAAAATTTTTTCTAATAACAAGCAATTATTTTATTGAGACATTAAAAATTGCAGCCTGGCATTGTGAACATATTTTCAATTTCCTTCTTAATTTGAAACAGTGTCTGTCTTTCTATTTGGTTTATATCACACAATGAAGTGTAGCACAATCGACACAAGGCTTTTCTTTACATCCTTCTTTAATCCATTCTTTTATTTGCCGAGACGCGTTTCGGGCATTTGCCCTTATTCTGTCAGCTTTTCCAAAAAAATGGAAAAGCCAAAAGAAGAGGGTAAAATGCCCGATACGCATCTCAGCAACTAAAAGAACAGATTAAAGGAGGACGTATAGAAAAGTCTTGTGTCGATTGTGCTATACTTCATTGTGTGATATAAACCAAGTATTTTTAATTTATTTAAAATATATGTTCTCCATCTCAAATTAGTAGTGTTTTGCTCCTGTACATCATACTTTTCCTTTAACAATAGAGTCATGCTGGTCATCCATTAACTGCTTTTGGGGGAAAATTTTTGAATTGAAATAACATGACTTCCAGTTTGTATCAGAAGTTTGTATATAGTTAATTGGGGCCTTGTGCTGTTACGGTTTCCATATCTATCTTGGATTTCATCTCACTCACTCCATTCTAAAGATTAAGAAAAGACGGATGGACAGGCAACAGTGAAAATTTATAGGTCTATAATATTTCCAAATTGCAGCCCAATGATTTTTCTTCCAAATGCAAACATAATTTAATTCTAAAAGGGATTAGATAATTTGAAAAATTCATTTCTTATGAAAATTATGATCTGTTTATTGTAATTAACACATTTTGAGATACTCATACCAACCATGCTATCTGAAAAACTAATTCTTTGATGTTTCTTCTTTGTCAAAAAACATTTAAGAGTTCTGTCAGAATTTTGTATATTCTATTATTATTGTTCTCTGATGGGTAAAAAAACAATAATGCAAGATTAATTTCCTAATAAGTTGTAAAATTATTAACTAGTAATCTTTTTATTTTTAAAACAAAGGATATACAAAAACAAGACTTAAATCATGACAAAAATTAGTTATTAAATCCAACTACAGATTTTCTAAAGAAACACACACACACACACACACACACACACACAGACTGACAGAGTTATGTACTAACTGTTTTAAGCAGTGTCATTTCAAATAATTTCATTAGCCAATTTATTTACATATAAGCAGTCATTATATAAGTAATTTGTCAGATTACATGTTTTACTTTTTGTCAGTGTAAAAGTTAACATTCTGAATATTCTTTAAAAAATTTATTTTTAAGGTAATAAATTTTTTATTACCTTAAAAATTTAATGCTTAAAATGTTAAAATTTATTTTTAAAGTGTAAGTTTTCTTTTATTTAAAAATTTTCAAAATTATTATTGTTGTTAATTTTTGAACTTATAATCATCTTTATCTTTGTCGCCTTTTCCCATGTTTATATAGGGTCGGTGTTTACTTCTCTAATACATTTCCTCCATTTCTCCCTATCAAAGTGATTCAAGTCTTCCTCCACCTTATCTTTCCAATGCAGCTTTGGTCTTCCTCTTTTCCTCTTACTACCAGTTTTTTTGACCCTCTTTCCAACATAATCTTAAATTTCTTCACTCTACATGGCCAAACCACCTCAACTACATTCTTGCATCTTCCTGTTCAAGGGGCCCATCTTAACAGAATCTCTAATAAAATCATTCCTCATTCCATCCTTCCTTGACACACCACACATCCATCTCAACATTCTCATCTCTGCTACCTTCATCTTTCTTGGGATCTTGTGATTGCCCATGTCTCAGCCCCATATAACATTGCAGGTCTAACAGCTGATTTGTACAATTCACCTTTCAGCTTGCAGCTAACTTTCATGTCTCAATCACATAACACACCACTCAGCTTCCTCCAGTTCATCCATCCACATTGAATTCTAGGTTGCCCTTCAGAGTTCAATCCTCCCCCATCTCAACAAAGGCCCTAAGATACTTAAAACCAAAGGAAGGGCACATTTTGAATTTTAATATTGCACTCGTCCCTGCCATTCAGAGTCATGTAAGCTGTTTTAGTTCTGCTAATCCTCGTGCCCCTTTCTTCCAAAACTTTCCTCCAATCTTCCAGTTTCATCTCATCCTTGGTTTGGGAAGGTTCACACAGCACAATATCATCCGCAAACAGCATAATCCACGGAGCCTCACACTTCACATCACACACCAAAACATCCATTAGTAGGTCAAACGGATAAGGGCTAAGGGCCGATTCCTGATGTAAACCAACGTTAACAAAGAACCCTTCTGTAGTGCCCACACTACTTTTACTTGGGTCTCTGCTCCCTCGTACATTTCCTTGACAATTCTAACCTAACATATTTTTCTGGAACATTCTTTTCCCTCAAACATCTCCATATATCTTGCCTTAGTATCCTATCATATGCCTTTTCCAGATCTGTGAACACTGTGCAAATCTTCCTGCATTTCCCTGTGCATTTCCATTAGCTGTTTCAAAGCAAAGATAGAATCAGTAGTACCCCTTCCCTGCATAAAGCCAAACTGTTCCTCTCCAATCTCAGATTCCCGTCTAATCCTCCTTTCGACAATTTTCTCCCAAATCTTCATAGTATGGGACAATAACTTTATACCTCTGTAGTTTCCACAATCCTGTACATCCTCTTTACCTTTAAAGACTGGCACAAGAACACTCTTCTGCCATTCATCTGGGATCTTCTCCTGCTGTCAGTTTCTTCATAAGGTCCTAGAGAATATCAATCCCCTCCTTAACCAAACCGCTCCAAGAAATTTTTGCACTTATGTAAAACAAAAATCAATCAACATTAGTTTGCATAGCACAAGGAGTTTCAAAATATTATTTGGAACATTTATTAACGAGTAATAATAACAAAAGTATATTTCCGTCAATGAAATTCTAAAGTTACACCAGAAATGAAAACTTAACCTTCTAAAGATCTAAATTATTTTACTGTACTTTTAAATAAATGAAATTTAAGAATTTATAATCCCAAAATTGATTATTAATTCAAAGGAAGTAACATAATAGATTAATAATATTTAGAGGAATGTGACTAATCTTTTATCAGGTGTAATGATTATTCAACGTATCACAAACTGACATTTCGTGACAATGAATATTAAGATTGATTTCTGCTTTTTCATTGTATCGAAAGTAACTAAAATAATATTTGTTAGAATATTTAATTAAAAAAAAAAAAAACAATGATTTAGTGGTATCAGCTCAGTCCATAAATTCATGCACATTAATAGTTAAAATAAAAAAACAAAAATTGTGATAATAAAATTTATCTTAATCCAAAATGTGTTTGCCATCATTTTCCTCTACATCGTGCAATCTTGAAAGTAACTTTTTAATTCCATTTTCATAAAAATTTTTGGTTTAGAATCGAAATATTCATCAACTGCATTTTCCAATACTATTTTTGTTAAAAAAATTTTTTTCCTTTTTAAGTAGTTCTGTAATCACCAGAATAAACAATAGTCACTTGGTGCCAAGTCTAGTGAATATGGCAAATGTGACAAAATTTCCCAGTTTTTTGAGGGTTGGTTTTGCAATGTGCAGTCTGGTATTGTCATATTGTAATAAAACATTCTTTTTATTGATTATGAACGGCCACTTTTCTTATAGTTTTTCATGTATGTTCAAACATATTGCAGCAGAAATTGTTTGGCTTGTTTTGAACAGCTCACGTGACATGTGCCACCAAGCAGCAAAGGAATTTTTTTGGATGCAACCCATCTTTTCCTATTGGTTTTGGCTGTTGATCCCAATCGGTCCATTTCCTTTTTCTTGTTACATCATAAATGATCAATTTCTTATCTCCGGTAACAAGCCAATCAAAGAAGGATTCCAAAGCAAATTATGAAATTAGAGAGGTGCATCAGTTTGCTTGCAGCTGCCAATTAACCAGCAATAATTCATGTGACACTCATTTTCTTAGTTTTGACACTTCCAATTTTTTTTAAATCTCTGTGGACAGTTCCATGGAATGAATTTACATATTCTGCAGCTTCATCAACAGTTAAATTTGGTTCTGCTGCCACTAGTGCTGAAAAGCATCATTAATAAAGTCCACTGATCTTCCTGAATAAACTTTATCCTCTACACTAAAATCATTCTTCTTAAACCATCAAATCACTTTTGGGCATCCCTGATACTAACAACATTTTAATTATGCACAGTGTTAATTTCCTTTGTTGCACTTGTAGCATTTTTCCCACTTAAGAACAGAGTATATAAAATATATCTTTTGTATTCATTTGTAATCTTCATTATAACAGCAGTTAAATAATAACAATTTCAGAAACACAACACTACTAAACTCAGCAACTACTGTATTCAACTTCCTCTAAGATTGGTTTGAACTTGATTGGAATTTATTTGTGCCAAAGCAACATGTCTAAATTTTTAGAATAAAATGCACACAAATTTATGGGATGACCTGATATTTATCATATCTTTAACTGCCATAGAATATAATACAGTATTCTAATATGCAATTAATCATATACAATGAAAAGTTGTGGAAAAATTCAAGAATTTCAAGCATTTAAAGTAAGTTTAACTTAATATTAAATGCAAGAAAGTTAAGTAAGTTAAATAAGATTTGCAGCACATTTCATAAGGCTATTTATAAAATTCAGTATTTCACAAAATTTTATTTACATGATGTCATTTTAAAATGACATTAAATAAAAAGAACTATCTTTACATACTAATTTATTATTTCATTTAAATTTTACTTAAATAACTTATCTTTGACTGACTGAAATTATTTGTGATTAATTTATATTAATTACTTGATACACTGAATAGATTTACCCTATTTTTTAGTGTCAGTTTAGTTTTCAGATTGTA